TTTGTTTTTGAGTCTCTTGTGAGATCCTATCTCTTCAATTTATTGGGAATGAGAAGTTCCTGCCTACTTGGTCCAGCCCCTAGTTCTTTGGCCTATAACATTTTTGTGACCCTTAGTCAATCTCAAACAAATCAAACACAGCCTACAAAATGACAAACTGTAGTAACTATTGATTTGCTACCTTCAATCATATGAACTAAATTTCTGATTATATAACAAAATCTAAAGCAAAAATTATATGCAATAAACAACCCCTCAATATGGCAATTTTACCCTTGGAAAATTTAAGACATTAGGGAAAAAATAGAGAAATAGAAGAAAAGGAAGAAATTAGAAGCAAGGAGAGAGGACAGAGATGGATCACACAAACTTTGGCCACTGGTGCAAAAGATAGGAGGAAAAGAGAGAAGAAATAAGAACAGAACAGAACAGAACTAGAAACCATGTTCATATTCATATAAAAGCAAGAACAAGAGAAGGAAAAAAAAAGTAGAAAAGACAAAATGTCCACTTCAAGGTATGTCTCTGTGGGCAATGGTAGACAGCATGGGCAGAGTACAGATCCAGGTTAGTCAACCCCAACAAGCCAGCAGCAGCTCTACAGCAAGGTAGAGGATGATCCCAATGAGCCTGCAACCCTATTTCCACTGAAGTTCAAGTGGGCCTTAGGCTGGGAGGTTGGAACCAGACACACCCAACCTGCTACAGTCCCCATGCCTGCTGTAAGCTTGAACTTGACTGGAGCCACTAGGTAGAGCTAACAGTTGCTCGAAGTTCCAAACTCAGTTGGCCTCTCTCCAAGATGGCCCCTAGCCATTTGCCCTCTCTTGTGGGAAGTCCAAACAGGACAGCTCACCAGCCACCACAGTACACTGTGTTCACTGCAATCTGCTGCATCTAACGCTCTGCTCTACTGGTGTCCATCTCCAGAGACCTCTGGGGTCACCAGCAGTCATCATGCTTCTGAGTTCAGGCTCAGAGAGAAAATGCTGCATGCCTCCTCTTCCTTTATTGAAATTTCTCTCTTCACTTTTCCTATGTGCATCAGTTCTCACTTCAGATCTTTCCTGGGTCCAGGGGAACCACTTCCTTCCTTCCTTTTTTCTTCCCATTGCTATATGCCAGTGTTTGGACATCAAATCTCAGAGAAGCTTTCTCTCTGCTGCTCACCATTCTGCCATCATCCCAAAAGTCATATAGACTTTTCTCATCTTCACCTTATAGGTAAGCTGAAATAAACTGCCAGGAATAAAATTCAAATCTTCCAGCTCCAACGTTTTAACACCTGAGCTACTGAAATTTGTTTTTAGCAGAACTCTGTTTTTTGCAAAAGTAAAATTATAATGAACCTCCAGTATATAACAGTTAAAGTCAGAAGTGATTTGGTTTTTGGTTTTACAGTCCTAAGGATTCAACCCAGAGACTTGCACGTGGTGGGCAAGTACTCTACTATTGAACTATATTACTAGCTCTTTTTTAATTTTATTTTGAGATAAGGTTTCACTAAGTTGCCTAGATTAACCTTGAACTTGTGATTCTCCTGCCTCAGTCCCTAGGATTACAGATAGGGTCACTAGGATTACAGATGTATGTTATCATACATAACTAAAATGAAAGTTATTTTGCGGGAAACTGGAACCAGAGCCTCCCTATAAGGGAGCTTCTGGGTTCTGAGGAGCACAGTTGGAAAGTAATGTGGTTCTCTTAGTTACTTTCTCATTGTTCAACAAAATAACCTGACATCCAAAGTTAAAGAAGGAAAGGTTTATTTAGCTCACGGTTTGTATAAGTTTCAGTCTATAATCAGCTGGCTCCAAGGAAGGGTGGCCTGGCAAATAGGCATTGCAGAGGAGAAACAGTTCATGTTGGATAGAAAGCAGCAAAGCAAGCAAAGAACCACCAGAGCTCTTTCTATCCTTTATATCTTATTCAGGCTAGTGAGGGTGGGTAGCACTTGTATCCTTAATCTTAGAGCTTTTGAGCGTAGCATTGCATCATGAATCAATCCCAGCATCACACATTCTACATCCAGCCACCTCTGAAAAAACCCCACCCGTGACTACATGAGACTTTGGGGGGACATGTAGACACAATCTATAACAGTGGTCTTCTATCCAGGTGTTTTCATACAAAGGCAACAGAACCTCTTCTGACCAGGCTTAAGAGGATTAATGCTGCCTAGAGGTTATAATGCTTCATTTTTCCAGTACATCTCATTAGGACAAGATTTGATAACCTAGTCCACATGCCACCAATCCAGATGTTTAGACTCCTCAACTTAGAATCCAGATCTGTTAGTGTCCTTCACATTACTGAAGGAAAGACTCCCACTGATCTGTATCTGCATCTACTAAGTTCTGGTACTGTTACCATCATTATCCATCATATCATCTGTAAACTCCTGTGAGGCAGGCAGCACTATCCTCTTATCATAGCTAAGCAACATAAGGGTTGGAAAGGTCAGGATTCTGCTGCTAAGTGTGGAAACTAGAGAATCTTCTTCATTTTTTAAAAGAATGGTAGAAAGCTGAGATCTGCTACTCTAATTCTGAATGAAAACAAAATTTTTCACATTTATACAGTTTACCTGATTCCACTTTCTTATTTGATGTTCTCAGTATGACTGGGGATAGTTTCCTCCACTTTATACATGAGGAAATGTGCTCAGAAAAGAAAAGCTATTTGCCTAGGATTACATGCCTAGCAAAAATCAAAAACCAGATTAGAAGCCAGGTCTCCCGCTTTTCAGACTTTAGTTTTTATTCATGTCCCAGAGTAGGACATACGTCCACCATCTTTCCAGAAAACAAGAATCAGAAACCTCATATGCAGAGTGAGAAGCTTCAGAGAGTTCTCTTTTCAGAACTACTTCTGGGAAAGGGCTTCAACAAGTAACCTCCCTGCAAAAGGCACACAGTTATCTAATGCTAGATTTGATTTTCAGTCAGTGGTTACTGAGAAATTTTAGGTGAATACTAAAAAGTAGTCCTAAAATCCTAAACCATCTTAGGACTAAGGTCTTCTGATGGGCTAATTTAGAATTCATCAGGGTCCTTGGAATGAATGCCAAGCATTATCTAAATGTCTAATCTCTAAGAAAATATGAAGAATATTTAGTCTAGTACATATGACACACACACTCAAGGAATGTTGTACCAGGGCTGAGGAACTGATTTGGTTCATGTGAAACTCAGTCATGAGAGGGATTCAGCTTTGGGTTCTGCACTGCCTTGACTGGGTACTGCTACCTGGTGTCGGGATATGGGATGGATGTAGAAATATCAGGGTGAGATTCTTTTTCCATAGGCTTTCATGGTTGTTCAGTTCTGATTCTCAGAAGTCTCTCTTGGAGGGCATTCCATGGTGTATATAGATAAGCTTCTCATGGTATAGGTAAAGATACTTAGTTTTCAGAAGAGCACTCTACTGAGTGGAAAAGTCAAATTCTAACCTTGATCCTCATCTCCATGTCTAAGCTCTCCCCAATACACAGTCCCAGCTTCCTTAGAAACTTCAGTGTGATCAGAGATAAGGAATATGGGAACAGATCCTGTATAGACAGGCCTTTAACTGAGCATCAGGAGTAATTTCTGAGATGTCATCCTGATTGAGCAGAGTGACAGCTTTCAAAGACCTTCATCTGAGCATATGTATCTCTTTTTCACTACCCCTATTCCCTGATCTAGTGTCTTGGTGACTAAGGTAGAGTAGCTTCATTTTTTTTTTTTAAGCCGCATCGCCTTTCTAGAAACAGCCCAGGGTAGTGCTGGAAAACTTATGATACAGGTGCCACAGTGGGCTATTTCTATCATTGAAGTCTCTAAAAGATTTGCCATCCCTGGCCTACAGCATCCAGGTCAGAAAGAACTCAAAGCCTATCTGTTTAAGAGAAAGTAACACCAGAGAAACTGAAGTTGAGACTTGACATTGAATGTGGCCAGAACCATGACCATACACAGGCCTCTTGAGTTCCAATCACAGCTTTCTGTCTTACTGCCTCTTGTCCACTCAAGCAGGCAGTTGGGATCTAGCACTCTAACATCTATCCAATCTTATCCCTGCTCTAAGTGCAGCAGCAAACAGAAACACTGAAACATCAGGATTTGGAGGCAGATGTATTTAATGTCATCAGGCACTGACCTCAAAAAAATGTCAAGCCCTGATCTCTAGTATTCTAAGGCTTTTATAGCATTTGCCAGCAAGAAACAGAGTATTTGATGTTGTACCCCAAAAAAACAAGGTCCCACGATGTTATTCAAAAAGAAAAAAACGGGGCATCAAGACATCTTCTAAAAAGAAGCACTTCTATTTAAGCTGGCACTAGCGACACAGTGCAGATGGAGTTTGCAAAGCTGTGCATCTAGGTTAGAATTTTGACAGATTTTTTATAGTTCATTTACAATTAGCTAATTGACCATTAAGTACATAGCGATGAGAAACAGAAACAAGGTGGACCTTTGTTCCCCTTTGCTTGAGGTCTTCATAGTGGGTGGTTAGCCAATTCATATCCCTTGGTCTGCCAGTTCCAGGAATATTTGTCTCTCACAAAGGGAACAATGGTTGACACAGTGTCATTTGTCTTTTACAAAGAGAACAAAGGTTGACGCAATGAACAGGTTACTCGGTGATGCATACAGAACAGCATGATGATGCAGTCAGTTAATCTATAACTATGTGGTTGGTGCTTCGTGGTTACTAGGGTAATGAGCACAGCACAGAATGACAATACTGCTAATAACTATCTTTTTAACTAACTATTTTTGCTAATAACTATCTTTTTAACTTTGCATTTTAGTTTTTTAGCATTTTAGTACAACATTTGACAGTTACTGATTGAGAATAATCAATGTGCATCATACTGACCAGCTATTTCTAGGAAACAGAAGTAACAAGAACTATAACAGGAACTGAAGTTGCCTGGGCAACTAACAAAACTAAAGTATACTGGCTGGAGAAGGAGGTATTTTCTGCTTCATAAGCCTGGTTTTATTATTTTCTAGGTGAAACTTTTGTCCTTGGGAATAGTCTGCCTCGGTCCTTGGCACCACACTCGGACTCAATGGACTCTGCCTTGAATCCCACCAAACTTGTCAGCTCCTCCTCAAATCTTCGAACTCCTAGTTACCGGCCTGTGCTTCCCTCTTGTGGCCTCCCACCCAGCACTGCCTCAGTTGTGCGCAGGCTATGTTCCAGAGGTAAACCAACCAGATTTCTGTCTTTTTGCCCTTCCTCCTTCTACTTCCTTCTTCCCTTCCCTCCTTTCTTCCTTCAGTGTGCTCCGGGAGGCCAGGAGTAACCTAGCTCTACATGCTGGTGGGATTGGAATTAGGCTTACTATTGTGTCTGACCTGGTATCTGGGAGGAAATCAGAACTCTGGGATTGGCTTGCAAATATCAGAAAGAGCCAAACACCTAAAGCTAACAGGGACAGAGAAAGAGTCATTCTTTTATTGATTAGCCATTTATTTGAATACCATCTGTGTTTGGCACAGATATAAGAATCACTTTATATTTTAAGGCCTTATGAAGGAAACAAACACTTGAAAAGATAATTGTACATCAAACAGTATCTGAGCACACAGAGATACACTACGGATAGTCTGAAAACTGCAAAAAGGGACCCTTAATCCAATCTTAGCATTCAAGGGAACTTCCAAGAAGAAGTAACTCCTCGTCTGAGGCTGTACAAATGGTTGTTAGAGTGGATAAGAAGGGAGACCTTTCCAGAAAGAGGGACAACATAAACAAGGAGAGAGAAAAAGGCAGAAGGACAGATGGTACCAAGACTGCATGCAGTCTGATATTACCAAAACTAAAATGTCATCCTGGGACTTCACAGAGAAAAGCCTAGAAAGGTCAGTGCTTGAATCACTGAAGATCTTAAATGCCATTCTAAAGAATTCAGACTTGATCTTGCAGGCAGTGTAAAGCTTCCCCAGAAGCTTTTAATTAGAGACAAGGCATAAATTTTTGGGAGTATTTTTGCTTTGTTGTTGTTGTTCTTAGCTTTGTTGTTACTGCCAGGGACTAAACCCAGGACCTGCACCTGAGCTATGTCTCTGTTCCCCCTTTTTTGAAAAATTTGACACAGGGTCTCACTAACTTGCTTAGTCTGACCTCAGATTTGTGATCCTCCTATCTTAGCATCCCAGAGTGCTAGGATTACAGGTAGGGTCCACTACACTGGCTCACATTTGTGTTTTGAGTAGATCACTGATCACTGGGTTGAACACAAACTTGTGATGGAACAAGACTAAGACTAGAAAGCCAATTAGGAGGTTACAAGGGTAAGTCAGACTAGAAATGATAAAGTACTGAATGAGGGCAATGTTAAAAGATTTAGAGAAGAGAGAATGGATTTGAAAACTATTCATGAGAAACTAAGACCTGTGATTCGGCACCATGCATGGGCTGACTGAGGGAGAGCCAGAAACCAGCCCTGTCCTGTGAGTCAGTGCCATTCATGGACTGCGGGGGAGGAGAGCAAGAAATCAACAAGAAGCTAAGACCTCCTGTGAGTCAGCACCATACTGACTAGGGGAGAACCAGATACCGTCCCCTTCTGGTGCCCAGGCAGGGAGACAAGAAGAGTCAACATCCCCCAACCCGTACTCCCCAACCCCCATAAGTGACTGTCTAATCCAGAGAAACACAAGCTCTGATGATAGCTAATAAGGTAAAATACAATTTAATATTTATAATCTTTAGTGTTTTACTGACTTTGCAGACCTAGCCAGTAGTCTGGTCGTCTTTTCAGAGGATAACAATACACAGTGTAGCATATATGAGGGATCTGAAGGTGGTGGCCTTTGTTAATTCCTTATTGTCTTGTTTTGAAATCCTGTATCATTCTCATTGTTTTGTTTGGTTGGGTTTTATTCTGTTTTACCTTGTTTGATTTTATTATATCTGATGGCATGGGCAACTATTTCAAAGATAACAAGATCTATTTTGGTAGTCATTTTGGATTTACTATTATCTTGTTTTGAAGTCCTTTATTGCACTCATTGTTTTGTTTTTATTGGTTCTATTGTTTCTGTTTTGTTTGATTTTACTATGTCTGAAGATATGGGCAGCTATTTTGAAAACAAGAGGCATCGTGGTAACTGTTCTATTACCTTGTGTTGAAACCCTGTGTAACTTTCATTGTCTTGTTTGATTGGCTTTATTTTGTTTTATTTTGCTTAGTTTTATTGTCTCTAAAATAAACTTTAAAAAAATTTTTTAAAAAGAAAACTATTCATGAGGATAGTTTTACCATATTTTAGGATCATGAGGCAAGTGAGAAGATTGTCTCCTGGGCTTAGATGTCAACCGGTGGTGGTTAGATGGATGATGGTGCCAATGAGAGAGAATCAACTATAAAAGAGAAGGAAGACAGAGGACTTGTGGGTCATTTAGGGCAGTGGCTAATGGGCTCAGAAAACTGAGCTGAGTCGAGCTGAATATTTGGAAGTCATCAACATACAGACACACAGTAAATAGAAATGTAATTACATTCTCATGTAAACAAATGAGAATGAAAAGAACAGTTGATCAAAGAAAAGCCCTGGGAATCAACAAAGTTCAGGAGATAGGAATGGGAAGAAGAGCCCATCAAGGAGGTAAAGAATTTTTCAATATGAAGAAAAATGGAAGAAATTGATAGCATAATAGCCAAGGTTAACACAATGGCAAAGAGCACAGCTGGACATGTTCCAGTTAAGCAGAAATTGAGACAAGTGTTAGAGTTGATAAGTAGTAGCTAATTGGTGATCTTAACAAGAGTTGCTTTAGTGGTGGTAGAGGATAGTGAGGGCAAACTACAGTGTGTAGAGATAGATCAGGGGGAGTCGAGAATAAAAAAAAAGATGATAAAAATAGTAGTGAAGGCAAATAGGAAGGTATACACCTATAATTCCAAGTACAGAAGAGGCTAAAGCAGGGGAACCACAAATTCTAGACCATCCTGAGCAAGACCTTGTCTCAATAAATAAAAAGAGCCCTACAAAAAAAATAAATAAATAAAATAAAATAAAATTGTAGTAAAATCATTTAAAAAAAAAAGAGCCCTACAAATGGTAAAGCACCCCAAGTCTAGTCCCAGTACCGAACCAAAAATTAAAAAAGGAGGGGGAAGAGGAAAGAAAAAAAGGAAGAGAAAGAGAAAAACAGAGATGCTCATGAAAGGGCCTATAACTCAAAAGAAGGACTTTTTAAAGTTGGAAGTTAAGAGTACTCTGACTTACTTATCAGCAGCCACCTTGAACTTTTCACGAAGAAGTCAAGAGTATAAGAAAAAAGAGAAGACAAATCAAAGTCTTGGGAGTGGTGGGAAGGAGGAGAAATCAAAGTGATATAGAGGAATGAAACTCCCAACCTACTTTATGTCTGGTATAAGTTTGCGTTCTCTAAAATTGAAGAATGAATTTTAGGAACAATGGAGGTTAAGAGCAGAAATAATTATTGAGAGAAAGAAAGGTTCTATCTGAGAAGAGTCCTGAGTGGGTTGCCAAAGAGTCTGTGTGTTCTAGGGATTTTTATAGAGTAAAACCATGAGGTGAGATGGGTCTAAGGTGATGAAAACTGAAAACTCATAAGGCAGATGAGCATGAGGGGGAACAGAATTATGATCAACCAATCAGATTAATTGTTCAGGTAGAATTGACCAAATTAGGGACAAATGGGGAAGCAAGTCACATAGTAAGTGAGCATTCTTTGTGGATCAGTGGCTCTTCCAGTAGAGGGTTGGGATGATGATGACTGGCTTCTCAAGGTGATCCATACTTAATCCCTATTGTTTATACTTAGGGTGTGGTTGCATTTGTTTTGCATTCTGTTTTGAGATCTGGCCCACAGCAAGAAGTGTGTGTTTCCTCCAAGGTCACAAGACATTTGGTCTTCTGTGCCAGCTTCTGACTGCCTATAATATTTCTAACTAACTCAGTTGCCTGTAACAAAAAGGTTAGGCAGATGGATCAGACATAACTTTCTCTGAAGTTAGGAAAAAGTTTGTGTTCATCATTGAGAGAGAGAGAGATGAGTAGGGAAAAGTTTAGGAGTGCCAAAGGATCAAACCAATTAGAAAAGATAGAAGAAAATCGGGGGCTGGGGATTTAGCTCAGTGGCATAAGTGCCTGCCTTGCAAGCAGGCAGTCGTCAGTTCGATCCCTGGTACCGATAAAAACGAAAAAAAGACAAAAGAAAAAAAAAGAAAAGAAAATGGCTTACAGAAAACATAACGAGCCTGGCTATGCTTGGAGACTAGTTTGTGTTAGAGTTTTCTGGTGCAGTACAGAAGCAAAAGATACAAAAAAGAAAAGGTTTATTGAAGACATGGAAAGGAGCACACTACCCATGGCAGTTGGGCTATCTCGTTTGACCAGATACAGAAGGCAGAGGATTATATGACCTCTGAATGGAAGTGGTGCGTGGATCGGATATTGATGACATGTGAGGAATTGACTGGAATTCTGTTTGTGTGCAAACAGGAAGGGGAGTTGTAATTAGGGCTGAAGAAGAAGGAGGAAGTGGTAAGCATTCCCACTTTGGCCTTCTGCCATGTTAGACCACTGCCATAATTGTACAGTTATTTATACTAGGGCAAGAACCTTTCAGTTTGTCACTTTGCAAGAGCTGTGATTTCCTTTTGTGGTTCTTAACAACCTAGACATAAAATGAGAAGATGATTTGAGAATTAAGATTTTACGCTAAGCTGCTAGGGCAAGATGGGGCAGGTAATGGGAGGGAAGTCAAGGAAATTAGTAGAACTAGAGAGAGCAGTCAAGATGATTGACCACACCAGTTCTGGGCAATCTAAAGAAAATTATGATGTAATGGTTATAGTGGACAGAAGTCTACCGAGAGTTGGAAAAATGAGAAACTAGGGTCAGAGAATGGAAATTTATAATTTTGGAGTAGATTTTTTCCAAGTGATGGTAAGAACCAGGGAGTGGCCTTGGCATTAGATATTTGAAGAAGAGGACAATGAAAGTCAGTGGAGGCATGGTAGTTGAAGGATACCCCTGGGGATAATGGCAGGAATTTGGGTGGGATAGAAGGAAATAAACTAAGTAGCAAAAAGTCTTCACATGATAAGGGGTAGTAACCCAAAGATCTGTAGATAACAATGACCAGGAAGAGTAGATGATTAGGAACATGTTTGATCTCTAAGAAGCATGAGCTTTCATAGAAGGGTAATTTAGAAGCAGCAATA